TTCCCGGCGCCGTTCCCGGTACCGGGGCGCTCCGGGGGCTGCAGGATGAGGATTTTTTCCTTCTGCAGGAAGTGCAGCTCCCGCGCCACGTGGCAGGCGGTCAGCGGGCTGTCCCCCGTGATCATCACCACCTGCAATTCCCGGGATTCCGGCAATTCCCAAAAAATCCAGCCTGGATCTCGGGCTGGGAAACGCCCTCCGGAAAGGCTCATGCTGGGATGTTCCCAAATCCTGCGGTTTTCCCCTTTTCCACTTGGGATTTTCCCCCTTCTCTTGGAATTTTCCCATTTTCAATCTGGAATTTTCTGTTTTCCATTTGGGATTTTCCCCCTTCTCTTGGAATTTTCCCGTTTTCAACCTGGAATTTTCCCATTTTCAATCTGGAATTTTCCCTGTTTTCCACTTGGGATTTTTCCCATTTTCCTCTTGGAATTTTCCCATTTTCAATCTGGAATTTTCCAATTTCCAACCTGGAATGTTCCCTGTTTTCCACTTGGAATTTTCCCATTTTCAATCTGGAATTTTCCCTGTTTTCCACTTGGGATTTTCCCATTTTCCTTTTGGAATCTTCCCATTTTCAATCTGGAATTTTCCCTGTTTTCCACTTGGGATGATCCCCCTTCTCCTCTTGGAATTTTCCAATCTGGAATTTTCCCCCTTCTCCTCTTGGAATGTTCCCCATTTTCAATCTGGAATTTTCCAGTTTCCAGCCTGGAATGTTCCCTGTTTTCCACTTGGAATTTTCCCATTTTCAATCTGGAATTTTCCCATTTTTCAGCCTGGGATTTTCCCCATTTTTCACTTGGAATTTTCCCATTTTCAATCTGGAATTTTCCCATTTTTCAGCCTGGGATTTTCCCCATTTTTCACTTGGAATTTTCCCATTTTTCACCCCGGAAATTCTCGATTTTCCCCTCCCTGCTGATCCCAAAACCCGGGAATTCCCGGGATTCCTCACGTGGTGGGAAGCGCTCTGGATCTCTCGGATCACGGCCTTGGAGTCGGCTTTGAGCGGGGAGGAGACCAGGATGAATCCCACAAATCTCAGGTCACATTCCAAGGATTCCCTCTTCATCTCCCGCACCTTTTCCATAGAAAAATCCCAGATTCATTCCCAAATCCCTTCAAACTCCAAATCCCTCCTCCCACCGCTGATTCCTGGGATTTGGAGCATCCCTGGAATGAGTTCAGTGCTCCAAAAAACCTTCCCAAGATCCCAAATTCCCAAAAGAAAATGGTTTTTCCTTGGAAAAATCCCTTTGGGGTGCCCTGAAGGGTCTGAGGAGGGTCTCTGGGACAGCTGGAAATGGGAATTTCCCTGGAAAAACTCCCCCAAAACCCCCAGATTCTACCCCAAAATCACCTCTCCTTTTCCCAACCCCTCTCCCAGCACCTTCCAAACCTGGAATTTTGGGATTTTTCCCGTTTTTTCACCTGCTGGTGGCTCAGGGCTCCCAACTCTTTGTAGCCCAGGGCCAGGACCCGCGCGCCCTCGTAGGAGAATTCCCGATGGATCTCGTGGTAGTTGCTGGGACACTGGGATAACTGGGAAAAAAAAACCCGGAAAATATTCCATGAGTGAGGAATCGGAGGGAATTCCGGAGGCTTTTGATGGAAAATTGGGAAAAATAAGGAGATTTGAGGAGAAAGGGAGGCAGGGATTTGGGAGAATCCATGTGGAATTTGAAGGAATTCAGGATAATTCCATCAGAATTGAAAGCCCCTGGCCTCTTCCATCTCCCTGATTTCCCAACATTCCCAAATTCTCCTTTTTCCCTGGAATTTTCCCTTCACCAGAGCCTGGGCTGCCATTTTGTGCTCCCGGCATTCCCAAATCCCTGCTTTTTCCTGGAATTTCCCCTTTTCCCTGGAATTTCACAGCCTCTGGGCCCATTCTCCCCTCAACACAGGGCAGCCATTTTGTGCTCCCGGCATTCCCAAATCCCTGATTTCCCTGGAATTTCATAGCCTCTGTGCCCATTCACCCTTAGCACAGGGCAGCCATTTTGGCATTCCCAAATCCCTGCTTTTTCCTGGAATTTTTCCTTTTCCTTGGAAAATCCCCTCACTGCAGCCTCTGGCCCCATTCTCCCCTCAGCACAGGGCAGCCATTTTGTGCTCCTGGCATTCCCAAATCCCTGATTTCCCTGGAATTTCCCCTCACTACAAGCTCTGAGCCCATTCACCCCTCAGCACAGGGCGGCCATTTTGTGCTCCCGGCATTCCCAAATCCCTGATTTCCCTGGAATTTCCCCTTTTCCCTGGAATTTCACAGCCTCTGGACCCATTCTCCCCTCAGCACAGGGCAGCTATTTTGTGCTCCCGGCATTCCCAAATCCCTGATTTCCCTGGAATTTCCCCTCACTACAAGCTCTGAGCCCATTCTCCCCTCAGCACAGGGCGGCCATTTTAGGCTCCTGTATTCCCAAATCCCTGTTTTAACGTGGAATTTCCCCTTTTCCCTGCAATTTCCCTTCACTGCAACCTCGGGGCCCAACCTCCCCTCAGCACAGGGCAGCCATTTTGAGCTCCCGGCATTCCCAAATCCCTGATTTCCCTGGAATTTCCCCTTTTCCCTGGAATTTCACAGCCTCTGCACCCATTCTCCCCTCAACACAGGGCTGCCATTTTGTGCTCCCAGCATTCCCAAATCCCTGATTTCCCTGGAATTTCCCCTTTTCCCTGGAATTTCACAGCCTCTGGGCCCATTCTCCCCTCAACACAGGGCTGCCATTTTGTGCTCCCGGCATTCCCAAATCCCTGATTTCCCTGGAATTTCACAGCCTCTGAGCCCATTCACCCGTAGCACAGGGCAGCCATTTTGGCATTCCCAAATCCCTGCTTTTCTTTGGAATTTTTCCTTTTCCTTGGAAAATCCCCTCACTGCAGCCTCTGGACCCATTCTCCCCTCAGCACAGGGCAGCCATTTTGTGCTCCCAGCATTCCCAAATCCCTGATTTCCCTGGAATTTCCCCTCACTACAAGCTCTGAGCCCATTCTCCCCTCAGCACAGGGCAGCCATTTTGAGCTCCTGGCATTCCCAAATCCCTGATTTCCCTGGAATTTCCCCTTTTCCCTGGAATTTCCCCTCACTACAGCCTCTCCCCTCAGCACAGGGCAGCCATTTTGAGCTCCTGGCATTCCCAANTTTCCCTGGAATTTCCCCTTTTCCCTGGAATTTCCCCTCACTACAGCCTCTCCCCTCAGCACAGGGCAGCCATTTTGAGCTCCTGGCATTCCCAAATCCCTGATTTCCCTGGAATTTCCCCTCACTACAAGCTCTGAGCCCATTCTCCCCTCAGCACAGGGCGGCCATTTTGAGCTCCCGGTATTCCCAAATCCCTGATTTCCCTGGAATTTCCCCTTTTCCCTGGAATTTCCCCTCACTACAGCCTCTCCCCTCAGCACAGGGCAGCCATTTTGTGCTCCTGGCATTCCCAAATCCCTGATTTCCCTGGAATTCCCCCGTCTTTCCCCTCACCATGGCGTGCAGGGTCTCGGGAGCGCCCTTGACGGCCGCCAGGTATCGGATTTCTCCGGAGGCGTTTTCCAGGGAAGCCAGCACCGCCATCCTCTTCAGGGCACTGGAGAAATGAAAGCGCTGGTGAATTCTCATTCCCGGAGTTTTTAGACTCCTCGGGAAAACTTTCTCATCTGGAAACAAAGGAAATCAGGAAATCCTGAAAGGGGGTGCTGGGAGGGAAAAGGGGAGATTGGGAAGGGCGGGGGGGAAAAGAATTTGGAATTTGGGGTGG